TGTGGTGGGAGGTAATGCCATGGTTCAGTTATACCAGAGAAAAATCTTCTTAGACTGTAAAAGGATAAGGATGGAAGAACCATTAGAGGTATGTGTACTCCTAATACATTCAACAGTAGCTTTCCTACAGCATAACCTAAGTCACTGGGGGGCAAAGTCAGTTTCCCTTCTCAGAAAAGAAAATACTAGGAAATGGTGTGTGGGGAAAAAGCTGAGGGCCACTTGGGGGAATTAATCAGGCTGAGAACTTTCACTGTAATTTTCCTGAATATAGAATAAAAATTCCTAAAGGAGTCTATCACTCTGAATTGGTCAAAGGCACTTAGCCAGAGCTAATTACAGGCTCCTGGGGACCACTGACTCTTGTCCCAACGGTCTTAAACCCAGCTCTCCCTGGGGTTCTAGAGGGATCTTAGTGCGTGGAATGATTCACCTCCAATCTTTGCCAGGAGGAATTCTTTTAATTAATGACAAAAACCAATTTCTGGAATAGGACAGAAAAGGTCTGTCTTTGAGAATAGCATTTGGCCTGTGTGTTGAATGCTGTTGGCCACAGTCCATAAAGATGACCAGACAAAGAGAACTAAGAAACCTGGAGGTATGAAAAATCCAAATGCTAGGATTGGAAGTAAATAATTTCCAAGCTATGATTTCACCTTGGGAATAACTGGCCCAGAACATCATTTAACTATTTACCACTGATCTAAATGCAATGATAAAAATAATTTGATGAAACTAAAATGAGGGTGAGGCTGAACTTACAAAGTAACTTAAAATCATGTTACATCACAAAAGTCACACTACATTCAGGGACCTCATCTATAGGAATTATGTTTCTGTTCATTCATGGATTCAATTTGGAAATTTTATTTTATTTATTTTTTATTTTTTGGTTTTTCTCCGGTACTGGGAACCGAACTCACGACCTTGCGCTTGCCAGGCAGGCGCCTTTGCCGCTGAGCTAAATCCCCAGCCCCTGGAAATTTGATTTTAAAGTACAGGAATGACTTTCAAAATGTGAGTGTAAGAAACCAAAAAAATGTTTCACATAGAATATATCAAAGCATGAAATTAGGCTTTAAATATCTTTGACAAATTGGTCTTATGAATGATGGCACTGCATATTTTTTAAATAGGAAAAGAACACACAAAATGTTACATGCCCAAGGCACAGAAGTACGGGGCTCCTGCAGACTAATTCTCGTGGGAACTTTATAATGTTTGGCATGCAGATGTCTAGAGTGTCCTCAATGAGTATTTTAGTGGGCACCTATAGAAATATTTTAGAGCTGCAGTTCTAAAGAGGCTGCCTGGAAACCTCTGTGGATCCCTGAGACCCTTTCAAGGATCAGCAAGGTCAAAACTATTTTCATAATAAGGCAGATGTTATTTGCCTTTTTCAATCTCATTCACTCATAAGTATAAAATGAAATCATCCAGAGGTTACATAGCATTCAATATCCAAACAGACAGAATTCAGAAGCAGATAGAGAATTCCAGCTGTCTTCTGTCAAGCCAGACATTAAAGAGACTTGCAAAAACGTAAAACAATAGGAAATTTTATGCTTTCTTTTCAGGGAAGTATAGCTATTTTACATTTACATATATTACCTATAATATCTTTTGGTTTGTCATTATTATTTTAAATAAATGGATAAATGTTTTAAATATTTTTCAATTTTAATTTCTAATATAATGAATAGGTAGGGAGATATGAACTCAAGCAGAATCTCTTTGGGAGTCTTAATTTTTAAGGTTGCAAAAAAAATCTTAAGAGACCAAAATGTTTTAACAATACATAGTCATTAGAGTAGCTAAGTAAGATAACAGTACACAACCAATAGAGTAGCTAAACTAACCAGACTGACATTAACACATACTAGAGCAATGGGAGCTTTCACATACTGCTGGGGTAGCAGATTTTGTATAGTCCCTTTGAAAAAAAATTGGCAATTCATTATCTATTAAAATTAAAATACACATACTTTATGACTTAGCAGTTCCATTCTTAGATGAATATTCAGCAGAAATTCATATATTCCACCTACAGACCTATACAAAAATTGTCATTTTATTCATAATACTACCAAACTGGAAACATTTCAATGTTCATTAACTGTAAAGGAGATCAACTCTGGAATAGGTGTTCAGTAAATACTATATAGCAAAGAGAATGCAATGCTTTATCAATGTACCTATCCTCCAAATGATGTAGTGTAAACATATGCTAATAAAAAATGAAAAAAAAAAGGATGAATCTCATAAAGATAACATTGAAAGAAACCACACACAGAAGTTTCCACTTATATAAATACAAAAACAAAACAAAACTGGGTCGAAAGGCATGCTTAGTAAACCATAAAGAAAAACAAAAAAAATATTTATCATAAAACACAGTACAGTGTTTACCTCAGCGAGCAGGACGTGTGAAGTAATGGGGAGAGAACATAAAGGGTACTTTCGGTTGCTGGCCGTGTTTCTTGACCTAGATGGGCAGTTACATGGGTGCTTGCTCTGTGATAATTAACACTTTGTTCTCCCTTCTCTGTGTTATAGTTCACAATAATAAAGGTATAAAATGCAAGAATCCTTATATTTAGGGATCATGGAGCAGCTCTGAGGATGAGTTATGAAAATCAGTGCATAAAAACATTTGGTACATGTTTTACGTTTCAAGAGTTAATCTTTCTTTTTTTCTTTTTTAATGGTTCTGGGGCTCAACGCTAGGCTCTTGTGTGTACCCAGCAAGAGCTCTACTGCTAAGCTCTACCTCTAGGCCCGTTTGATCCATCTTAAGACTTTTTTTGTGCCTCAAGTTAGAAGAGATACGATAAATGCAAAAAAAGGCACTCCATTTATTCCGCACATCATGTGTTCACCCTTTGTTTCTGCGATGTGTTTTGCTCTCCATTGGGATCCAGGTTATCACCAAGGGCCAGGTTTTAGGACTCAGAAGGTTCCATCTTACTGAGATGGCTCTCCTAACAGTGAGGTTTTGATTTTTGTGGGAATCATAAATATCTCAATGGATCAGGGTTGTCTGAAACGAGAAGTCTTTAGGATTATGCAGAGACACTGGAAGGCAGAGTCAGTTTTAACTTTTTATGATAATAGACAATTTCTGTAACTGACAGTGAAGTACTGAAGAGAGAAACTAGGCTCTTGTCATCAAATATGCAAGAGTACATATCCACTTGTCTGGTTATCAGAAAATGCCAAGCAGGAGCAGATTTACTGTGTTGACAGTGTGCACCAAAACAGGACTCATATATGAAAAAGTCAGAAATTAATGGCTTCTGGGCTTTAATATTTAACTATGCAAACCATAAAGATCCTCTTTTTCAGCTACAGAAACCTAGGGAAGTGCTACGTTGTCTCGTGTTCTGGTACCCATGAGTAGGGTCCTGAAAGCTATGGTAGCAGTCCCTGAAATTCTTCCCCAAACCTTCAGAACTAGGCGTACAGTTTATACCTAAGGTGAAAATTTGTCTTAAGAAGTTCAATTTTAGAATCTGCAAATGAACAAACAAAACCAAATCTACATAAGTTATTTATTTATTAATTGTGGTGCTAGGGACTGAACCCAGGTCTTTACACAGGCTGGGTCAGTGATCTATAACTGCACTACACCTCTAACCCCCACATAATTAAGTTTTAACTTACAATGTTAATACCCCAGAATTTTACTAGTAGAATAGCACAAGAGCATGAAAAATGTCTGGGATAACATGGAGTTATTTCAAATAAGCCTCTCAACTATCTCCTTTATCCTTTACTATAAATAATGAAACCTGTGCCATTGAGTTGCTGCAAAGATTGAGAAAAGCTTCCATATTCCTTGTCCTCCCCCCTCAACACTTTTTCAAATATAAAAAGCATTATCATGAGGGTTATATAAAAACACACTACAGTATGGAGTTGGCATTTCAACAGTAATTTGCCTGGTCCTTAATTGGTAGTTCTTAACCAGTCTGGGGCTCTTTAGAAGTTCACTGTAAAGAATTAATCTCAGTCCTGGAAGCCGGCAGGACCCTAGAGGTCAGCTGCGAGGATCTAGCCCTAGGTATAAGTGTTCTTTGGATTCCTCTCTCCTCTGCTAATGTTTTTCTTTTCACTAGAACAACTGAAGGTGGTGACACGATGGAGAATGACAACGGCCAATGCAAGTGGGGATTTTTGTTTGAACTATTAAGCAGGACACTGGCTGAAAAGGGTTGTGAGATTTCTCTGTGAGATTTAAATCTTATGAGATTTCCCTGATTCACTAAGTGTCACCTCTTAGGAATGAAGACAATTTGTAAATAACAGAATGAAGAACAGCTCTTACCCAATTTTATCTTTAATGATAAAAAACTTCGCCTCTGTTAGGGCGAGGAAGCGCGCAGAACCCAAAACTGAATGGAAAGAGGAATTAACTCAGTGTTAAGCATTTCCTAGCTGTAGGACCTAGAAAAATCTAGATATATATATCTCGAGCTTCAGTTTTTGCATCTCTCAAATCGAGATTACTGGAGATCTAGCGTTAAGCACAACGCGAGGCACGAAGCTGGCGATGAGAAAATGATAGCCCTGTGAACGAATGGCTGGAGTCAATGAGGATCAGCGCCGAGTAACTGCAGGGTGTGTGTGTGTGTGTGTGGCGGTGGGGGAGAAGCAGAGGTGGAAGAGTAACTGGATCTCTTTCAGGAAAGGAAGCTGCCGGTTCCCCGGGAAGATCCACCACAACCCCGCACTTCTGCAGCTCAGAGGCTGCTGCACCCGAAGGCGCTTTTAGAGGCCCAGGCCACACCCTAGGACCCCACCCAGGCCACACCCCACGATACTGCAGAGCGGCTTGCGGTTTGGCTCCCGGACCTGCCCCGCCCGGGCTGGGCCAATCCCGGTGGGCTGGAACTCACCTGCGGGGCAGGTGAGCGCTGCGGAGGCGGGGCCGCGGCCGCGGGCGCGGGGGGCGGGCGCAGAGAAAGTGAAGCTCCCGGCGCATGGCACCCGCCGCCCAGTTGCCGCGGTGGCTGCCGGGATGCGCCGCAGCGAATGGTCGCGCCGGGCGCCGCTCTGAGTGACCTTTCACCCGCGCCCAGCGGTCCGGAGCGGCGGCACAAGGCGGAAGCCATGGCGGAGGCGGCGGCTGCAGCGGGAGAGACGGGTGCGAGCTCCGGCTCTGCGGCGGAACGGGACCCGGACCGGGACCGCGCTGGGCGGCGGCTGCGCGTTCTCTCGGGCCATCTGCTGGGCCGGCCCCGGGAGGCGCTGAGTACCAATGAGTGCAAGGCGCGGAGAGCCGCGTCGGCCGCCACGGCGGCGCCCACGGCCACTCCCGCCGCGCCGGAGTCGGGCATCATCCCCAAGAAGCGGTGAGTAGCGGTCTGTGGAAGGCGCTGGTGGCCAGGGGCCAGGCCGGGCCTGTGCGGCGGGAGGGCACCGGGAGGTGGGAAGAGAGTTGACACGGGTGGGCGGAAGGCATTTGGGTCCCTGAAAGTCCGAGCTCATCTCTTCCGAGGAGGAGTGGACGAGACTCTGGACGCTGTCGGGAAGGGGGCGGGATGGGGTGATGGATTTTGGTCACTATTTGTAGGTAGCTGAACCGATGCCAGGAATTCATTCTCAGTCATGAATGAGTATATTGGGGGCTAAGGTCTTTGAGTGCGTAGTGGGAGCTCTATTATGCTTTCCCGAGGAGATTTAGGTTTGTACGAGATGATCACAAGGATTCTTCTAATTCGCGAAACACTGGGTGCCGGGGTGGCGAGGGTGGAAAGGGGGCCAGTGATGCTCCGCACAAAGGTGCTGACTGGTTTCTGTGAGGTAGGCTTCCGCTTCCTTAGGGGCCATGGTTTTCTACTTTGGGGGAGGAAACTGATGAGTAAGAAGCGATAAACTGCAGACGAACACTAGATAGTGATTTAGAGCGCGATGGTATCTCTACAGCGCTAGAAGACAGGTTTGTATGAATGAGAAGTGTTTGTAAGAAATCTTAATTTCTGACTTTTTGGGGAAAACTCTGATGAAAGCTACTGGGAGAAGGTGTTTTCAGACGTGTAGCTTTGTCAGCGTGGGGTAACTTTGGGAGTGAAAAAAGGATGTTGCTAATGTTAATTTGTATTTTCAAAGTACCAGGGATTGTGCTAAATCTGTTATTTCTTGTACTCTTTCCGAAGCGGAGGTAGGTGCAGTTTTCTCCCATTTTATAGATGATGAAATGTAAAAATGATTTAACAAGTCTGCTGCAGGCTTATGTGTATTGTGTGGCAGGTTAGAATTCCAAAAACACATCAGGTTGACCTCAGTGCCCAGTGACAAATCATTAATTCAACATGTATGAGTCCTATACCACATACATACAGTACTAGCAGTACCGAGATTTTGAAATGTAATATTTACTTTTAAGGAAGTAATAGTCTGCTAAGTAAAGTTATAGTATAGTGTGATAAGAAACTTAACTGGTAATTGTAGTGCATAGTTATTTACCCAGCTTTGGGTATGTGTTAGGGAAAAGACGTTCTTGAATAAAAATTGTCTAAGTAAATTTTGAAATTTATAATGGAAATAGCCTGCCAAAGAGGAAAAATGTCTGGGGAGACAAACATGTTCATAGGTTAAAAAAGTGAGAGGCAGTAACGGAACTGTTGTGAGTTTAGAGGGGCAGGAGCATAACAAAGACAAGGGATAAGGACTTGAGAGGTGAAACTTCACAGGATTTTTTTGCAGGGCAAAACATGGTTAGACTTACCTTTCAGAAAGGTCACAGTGGGACCAGATTGAAGAAGGTTGAGCAGTGTAGCAATAGAATGGCTGGGAATCTAGACCTGAGTTTGAAGTCCGCTAAGCAACTTCACCTCTATGACTTTGGATAAATGAGCTTCTCCCAGAGCTTCAGGCCCCTCATTTTAAAAAATAGGTATCATAATTTCTGATTTGCAGTATTGCCGCGAGAATGGAAAAATGCAAAGTTAAATGATCAAATGCTTAGTACAGTACCTGTTACATAACCCGTCAACAAAGAGTAACATCAATTTTCATTGTGTCCAAAGACAACAGAGACCAGTTAGAAGTCTGTTATTTCAATGAGGAATGCTGGGATCCTGAAGTAAGGTATACTGTTGGGAATAGGCAACCTATTTGGAAAACAAAATTGAGAGGTACATTTTCTAGAATCTGGTCACTTAATGGTAAGAGAGGGAAAAATCAAGGGTCATATCCTATACTCTGCTACACTGATGTTATATTAGCTGTTACTGCATTTGTGACTTTTCACTTTTCTTAATGGCTTCATGATCATATATATCTACTCATCTGCATACAAGTGTGTGCATTTATATGCAGATTTGTGCTACTAGAATTAAATAAGGAGGGCACATTTTCCTTTTGGTTTGATTTAGTAGCTTTGGTTTGTGGGAGAAAAAATAGAAACGTTTGTATTAGGGAAATAGATGAGGTTTCTCACAGTTGAAGGTGTCTTGTCTAGGGTTCCCTGTCTGTCTGCTCCAGGGTACCTGTGTGGCTAGTCCACGGGCTGAAGACACCAGGAGCTCAGGCACAACTATAGCCCATTTGTGACAATAGATCACAGCTGAGGGGAAGCTCTGGTCTTTGGTTGAAGGTTAGATGAGTAGTGATAAAATTTAGTCCTACACAAGAATACTTTGAAGTTTAAGCAAAGTACTGTTTTCACTAAACATAAATTACACTAACTTGTGTTAGATGGAACATCAAAAATGTCCTCAGAGAGTGATCTACTTGATTATTCGTGGGAAATCTAGGTCTGTGTTTTACTTCTTACTGCGTAGTTGGGCCTCATATTGCGTGCAACAGAGCCGAGCCCGTAGGGAAGACAAATCAGGAGTAAGACAGGCCAATATGGTGTGATTACAACCGTGTCTTTGAAATCATTTTGGTGTTGTGTGTATTACGCCTTCTCTTTCATGAATGATGATATTGGTTGTAATTGTTTTATTTTATTGATTATTCTTAGATTCATCAATGGACTTGGAGTAGTGACTTTTTGAAACTCGATGCTTTCATTTCTGTTATAAAAAATAGTCACTCATACATTAGTGAGCATTTACACAGTGGTTGCTTTAATTACAGGTAATTCTTTAAGCACCAGAGATAAAGAGATGAACAGTCCTTGGCCTCAAAGAATTCACAGTCTAGGAAAAGAGATAATGTGTTCCAGTAGTTTAATTAGAACCACTGTAGATAAAGGTGCAATAAAGCACAAAGAAAAGAGTGTTATACTGTGCGGTATATGGAATCAGGGGAAGCTTTCTGGTGAAGTTCTGAAATACCGGTGATAGAGATGGGGATTTAGCTCTGTAGTGCAGTGCTTACCCAGCATATATAAAGCCCTGGCTTTTAGCCCCAGCGCTGTAAAATTAAAAATAATTAAAAAAATACTGCTGATAGTTTGGTAGGTTGATTGAATGGATAGTGAGGAAAGTTTATATTTCAGACACAGAGAACAGCATATGGCAAAACAAGGGAGTGTGAAGGTACATGTTGTATTTAGGTCACTAGACATTTCATTGTTGATGGAGGTGGCAGGTTGTAGAGGTCTTTGCCCTGAGAGTCATCAATCCGTTTATTCATTCATGCCTTCATACAGGTAACATACTATAGTGAACCAAAACTGTGCCTTTATGGAACTTATCTACCAAGTGGAGAGGAGATGGTGAACAGACAGTGTGGTATGTCAGATGGTAATCAACGTAAATGAACAAAAATGATGGGGACAGGATGCAGAGATGGTGGTGAACCCTTGAAGGAATTAAGCTGGTCACACACTCGAACAGATGGAGTTTAGGTTTGAGAGAAGTCACTCAGGCTGCAGTGTTAAGAATGGAGAGGAGAAGGGTTAAGATGGACAGACAGAGATCATTTGGTCGGTATGTGGCACAATAGGTGACACGTAATGAGTGATCCACTTGATTATGGGAAATGATTCGTGATGAATAAGGAAGGATTAAACTGAGAGCATGGCAGTGAGAGTGGGAAGGAAAGGAGGAGTTTTAGAATTTTGGAAGTTAGTGCATTAGGTAATGCTTTAATATTAAGTCACTGAATGGCATAAGAGTTTAGAGATCAAATAAAAATAGAAAATAGATGAGAATCCTGAGGGATGTGAACATTTAATAAGGACGATAAACCAAAACCTGTGTCTTATCATATGGTCTCCTGTGAGTTGGTCCAGTTACTTCTGGCCAGAAACATATTCTCATTATTTGAGTTGCTGAGCAGTTTTAGGGCAACAGTTTACTTTTGGACCCCTCCACCTTTTTAAGTGTATGTTACTCAGTGTATAGTTTTTCTTTTTTTTTTTTTTTTTTAACCTTGATTCTGGATGCCATTTTGGATTCCTAAATCATAGTAAATGTCAGTCACATATGTTGACATTTTTATGGCTTGGTTTTAGATTTTTTCAGTTAAAAAGAAAAAAGCTGTTAGTCAGGCATGGTGGTGCATTCCTGTAATCCCAACACTTGGGAGGCTAAGGCAGAAGGCCATGAATTTGAGGCCACCCTTGGCTACATAGTGAGTTCAGCCTGGACCACATAGAGAGACCCTGTCTCAAAAAAAAAAAAAAAAAAAAAGCTATTAAAATGTTACAAATAAAGAGTAAGAAAAAACACAGAGAAATCATTTTTTGACTTCTGTCCCTCCACATTGTTAACCACTTTCCCAACTGTACTGTGGTTTCAACCTTATTGTGGTTTGTGTTTGTGAGAACTGCTCTTTGGCAAATTTTGCAGAAGTTATAAGCTCTTCTGGGTCAGATCAAAAGAATATTATGTTAAAGAATTCTGCTAGTTAAATTACTTGCTTATACTTTATTTACATAAAAATATATTATTTAACATTTACCACAGCTTTGATGTTTCCAGAAGGAATAAACCTGAGTTAAGCTCTTGTAACTCTTCCCAGAGGACATTCTCAAGCCTGTAAGTGTGATATATCTCTGAGGCAAAGATTATTTGCACAAATGACTGAACTTCAACATTAGTTGACAAAATTAGAGCCTACATTGATAGTTATGTTGAATGAAATATCATACTGTGAATTCCTAGCTAGGAATTTTCGTGATAATAGTGATAGAAGTTTTAATTTAAATAAAATAGGCATCATTCCTATTTTATTGCATGCATTATCTCATTTAATTCTCACAACAACTCTGAAAAGTAAGTGATACTACATGTAGATTTTCTTGTGGAAAACCCAGGATCAGAGGAAAAAAGAAGAGGTCATGGAGAATTAGTTTGCTGCTTGGTTTTAGGATATCTTTGCACTGCACATGAAAAAAAACCCTGAAGACTATGGTTATTTGGTATTATTCTCTTCTAGATTGGGTTTTAAGATG